CCCCCACCCTTCATTTTTCATCTTTCTTATCTCATCTCTCACTCCCCCCCCAATATCTCATCTCTCACTCCCCCCACAATATCTCATCTCTCACTCCCCGCCCCCCCAATATCTCATATCCTCTCTCTCTCTCTCTGTCTCACATAACACAGGTGGACATACCTTGACTTGGTTCCTAAAAGCCTTGGAGACATTCTCCATCCCTCCCGTCTTTTACAAAACGGAGCACCCAGAGGCTTGGAGACCCAGAACAAAATTGACCTGTAATTCCTCCCCCCCCCATCCCTTAAGCAGTCAAATTATCTCCACCAGCCTCCTGAACATGCGTGGGTGGGAAGACTTCAAAATTCTGGACAAAAGGACTCTTTGAGGCTTTGTACCTTCACAGGAGCCAAAAACCCCTCCATTAAAAATCAAATTAGGATGGGGGACGTGATGGGACGACAAAGAGAAATTGCTCACCTGAAGAGCTTCGGCCCCTTATTTCATGCCCTTGCAGCTGCCCACAACAGCAATGCCCAAGTTGCTCAGGTATGGTACCAACTGAGGAAAAGGAAATAGTGAAATTGTTGGGGTTTTTTTCCCCCTCCAAGAATGGAATTACAGCTATCCCTTGACTTGCAACCACAATTGAGCCCAAGATTTCTGATGTTAAGTGAAGACATTTGTAAAAGTGAATTTTGCCCCCATTTTAAGACATTTCCTGCCACAGCTGTTAAGTGAATCACGGCGGTTGTTACGTTGGTCACCCGATTGTTGAATGACTCTGGCTTCCTCATTGACTTTGCACTCTTTCCGCGCCAACTCAGGAAGCTCAAACTGCCCAAAAGGAGCTGCCGATCCAGTTCTACAGAGGAAGGATGGAGTCTGTCATCTGTACCTCTATAACGGTCTGGTTTGGCTCTACAACCCAACAGGACAGACACAGACTCCAGAGAGGAATTAGGCCTGCAGAAAAAATAATGGCTACCAACCTGCCTTCCATGGAGGACCTGTGTCAACTAAAAAGATACTCCCCTCTGGTCTTTTTAGCTGCCAGAAAAACGGAGTGGGGGGAAAACAAGGCATTCTTGAAATGCCTAGATATCAACTCAGCAGCCCAAAGTTGTTGGAGCATAAGAAGGTTATTGGAGAGCATGATGGATGACTCTTGGAGACGGATGTGTCCCATTGGAGGAGTCACATCCAGGGGTTGGGGGAAAGACCAGGGTCAAGGGGGAAATGGGTGATGTGATTTAGTACCGGCTGCACCCAGCCACGCAGCTAACATGGCAATTTCTAATAAACCAATTTACTTTTTCTGAGATGCGGCTAGAGACTTTTGCTTTGAATGAGGGGGGATTTATTGGAGCCCTGACAACCTGTATCCTGCACGAGTCAAAAAGTGGGCTGGGAAAATATCTACAGATCCCTCACATCCCGGACATGAACTGTTTCAACTCCCATCCTCTAAACGATGCTACAGAGCAGCGATGGCGAACCTTGTGGTGTGCAGAAAAGTGTGCACATGCAATGTGTCTGGCCCCCTGCACATGCATGCACAACCCTCCCCCTCTTATCTGCACTGCACATGCGCACGTCCCCCAAGTGATTTTCGGCCCATTTGAGGCTGTTTTTGCCCTCCCGGGGGCTTGAGGGAAGCCTCTGAAACCTTTGGAGGCTGAAAAACGGGCCTGTTTTGGCACTTCCTGTATTTCCTGTAATTGTTTTTTCTGCAGAGGCCTCCCTCGAGCCCCCAGAAGGGCGAAAATGGCCTCAAATGGGCCAAATATCAGCTGGGAGGCGCGCACACGCGCAGTGCAGGTACGTTTGGCTGGGGCTCGCGTGCCCGCACAAATGGCTCTGCGTGCCCCCTGTATTCGCCATCATGGCTATAGAGCCCTGCACACCAGAACAACTAGACACAAGGACAGTTTTTCCCCCAACGCCATCACTCTGCTAAACAAGTAATTCCCTCCACACTGTCCAACTATTTACAAAGTCTGCACTACTACTACTATTAATCTTCTCATCGCACCTTATCACCCATCCCCTCCCATTTGTGACTGTATGACTGTAACTTTGTCGCTTGTATCCTAACGATTTATATTGACTATTTCCTGGTATGATTTGATTGCTTATTGTACCCTATGACTATTATTATTCAGCGTTGCACCTTATGATTCTTGACTCTTGATGAATGTATCTTTTCTTTTATGAACACTGAGAGCACTTGCACCAAGACAGTTGGACAGTGTTGAGGGAATTATTTGTTTAGCAGAGTGATGGTGTTCGGGGGAAAAAATTGTCCTTGTGCCTAGTTGTTCTGGTGTGCAGTGCTCTATAGCAGGGGTCCCCAACCACCGGGCCCCGGACTGGTACCAGTCCGTGGAACATATCCTACCGGGCCGCCGGTTTGCTGGGCGCCGCCATCTTGTTTCGATGATAAAGTGCTTCTGGGTGAGCTTTTCCGGTTGGAAAGCGGCGTTTGGGTCCTGAAGGAATCCTCGCGCCTTAGTTTCATTGAAGGGGGGGGGGCGGCTTCGAACGAAACTAAGGCGCGAGGATTCTTTCAGCACCCAAGGCAAGGCGAGCTGAGCGACCGTCCCGAAGCCGTCTCGAAGCCCATCGACAAAGGTACAAAGGAGGAGTTGACGGTGGCGGGGAGAAGTGGGGGACGGCTGGCTGGCCGGTCGCTCGGCTCGCCTTGCCTTGTCATGCGTGCTGATGCCGGTACCGGGCCGCGGATCATTTTGTGATGCCGGTACCGGCCCGTGGCACAAAAAAGGTTGGGGGCCACTGCTCTATAGCGTCGTTTTGAGGGAAGGAGTTGAAACAGTTTATGTCCAGGATGTGAGGGGTCTGTAGATATTTTCACAGTCCTCTTTTTGACTCGTGCAGTATACAGGTCCTCCATGGAAGGCAGGTTGGTAGCCATTGTTTTTTCTGCAGGCCTAATTATCCTCTGGAGTCTGTGTCTGTCCTGTTGGGTGGCAGAACCAAACCAGACCGTTATAGAGGTGCAGATGACAGACTCAATCATTCCTCTGTAGAACTGGATCAGCAGCTCTTTTTGGGCAGTTTGAGCTTTCAACTTATCAACTCCAGCGATTCGCTTAACAACGGTGGCAAGAGAAGGTCGAACATGGGGCAAAACTCCCTTTAACAAATGTCTCCCTTAAAAATGGACGTTTTTGGGGCTCAATTGTGGCCGTAAGTTGAGGACTACCTGCAGAGGCCAAAGAGGTGGCCTGGGTTTTAAATCACGATTTCCAGGCTTGTGCTGTATGGGGGGCTCACCTAGTGGCGAAGGGGAATATGGCCTCGAAGAGCCTGTGGACAGTCTGCGGCCAACGGTCTGGACAGTGTCAGCCGGCACCGGGGAGCTGGAGCCGGTCTTGAGGAAGCCCAAAGGACTGGTGTTTGACCGTCGCACGGCCCCAGATCTGAAAGCAGAAGAGAAAAAGTTTCACGAAAGAAAGCTAAGACACCTAGGAAATAACACAGTGAAAAACTGTATTTATTGCTCTATTGAAATAACTGCCCATGTGGCAACCTTCCGACAGGAGGGCTATCTTGAAATGTTTAATCGATTTCAGGACCATTTCCTTAGTTACAGCAGGTATATTTGTATACACACATATAAAATATAGTTTTATATCTATATATCCATATCTATATCTAAATGTATATGCAAGAATACACACACACACACACACACACACACACACACACAGTTTGGTCTAATGGTTAAGGCACAAGGCTAGGAAGCCGACGAGCTCTGCTGTGTAACTTTGGACCAAGCACTAGGTGACCGTGAGTTCTAGCCTCGCCTTAGGCATATAAAGCCAGCTAGGAATAATTAAGGGAGAATATAGCAAGACAGACAGGTACATTGTCTTACACATAACAACTGCTGCTAGGATTACATATGCGCAGTACTGGAAACAGGGAGATATACCACAAGAGGGAGCAGTGATAAGAAAAATTCTAGACTGCCCGGAAATGGACAGGCTGACTTTAGAGTTAAAGGACAGAGAGGTATCTGTGCATTATTCAGTCTGGGACGCCTGGTATATATGGTTTGACAATAGAAAGAAAAGTAATACTGTAACTAATTAAAGAATATGAAGCTATAGGTACTGAATGTAGAAGTAATAGAAAATGTATTATGTAACAAGGGATATAGGTAAGGAGTAAGGAATAGAGAATTAACAGAAAAATATGTCATAATCGTACTGCAATAGAAAATTAAGTAGAGTATATGCACATGTGATGTATAGTAGTTAGATTATCGTTATTAAACTAGAATGTGATAATTATATAGTGATTATATTACGATAAATTTTGATTATGGATTAAAGGGGAATATATTGAGGGATAAAAGGGTGGCACACTTTAATTGATACTTAAAGGGGGAAATTTTGGGGAATTATTAGATTTAAGATGGAATTTATTGAATAATGAAACAAAAGTAAAATTGCAAATGTGACAGATAAAAGTATAAAGGTATAATGAATTTAGAATTAAAAAATAAGAATGTTAAAACTATAGAATAAGATTTGAGAACATTTATAGAAAAAGGAGTTAAGATAAGATATAAATTGAAAATGGATTTAATAAGTGTAAAGAAAATAAGAATAGTGGAGAAAATTTACTGGAAAATGGAAGTAATGATATGATATAGAATTGAATGTGAAAGATAAATATGTACTATGGTCATGTATTGAAGTGTAAACCTGGAACCACGTTGACTGAAAGAGATGTTTTGAAAATATAAAAATAATAAACATTTATTACAAAAAAAGAAAAAGAAAATTAAGTTAGAGGAATATGGTTAAGAAATGCTAATGATGTCTTCAACGTTGTTGCAATTGTTTTTTTTTATGCTTTTAAACTGTTGGAAAAACTGAATAAAGTTTATAAAAAAACTGTTTCATACTTATAACGGTTGTGTCTGATCCCCTTTTGCGACCTTCTGACAAGCAAAGTCAGTGGGGAAGCCAGATTCACTTCACAATGCGATTACTAACTTATCCACTGCAGGGATTCACTTCAACAACTGGGACAAGAAAGGGCAAAACTCACTTGACAAATGTCTCACTTAACAACCTAAAATGTTAGGCTCAACTGTGGTCATTAGGTGAGGACTACCTGTATCTGATTTTGGCTGGGGAAGCCAGCCAAATGCAGGTAATCCTCAAGTTACAACAGTTTAGTTTAGTGACCGTTCAAAGTTACCAAGGCGCTGAAAATAATGACTTTATGACCGTTTTTTCCCCCACACATACAGCTGTTGCAGCATCCCGGTGGTCACATGATCAAAATTCAGACGCTTGGCCACTGACTCATACTTATGACGGTCTCATATTTATGGGGTCACGTGATCCCACTTTTGCAATCTTTCGATAAGCAAAGTCCACGGGGGGAGCAAGATTCACTTAACAACCAAGTTACCAACTGCGGTGTGTCAACTCATAAAATATTTCTTTTCTTTTCTTTTTTTAAATAAACTTTATTAGTCTTTTGTATATTTTAAAAATAAAACAAAAAATAAATATCATGACATTAACAGTTTTGTGACATCCATCTCATCCATTTCTATCTTTTGTGTACATTTTCAAATATATACAATTTTGTATTTAATTTACATTTAATCTGTAAGTTGCTGATCTTTAATTCCTTCATTTTCTATCTGTCTTAATTCGATCCGATTATATCATTTTCCCCAAATTCTATAGTATTAACGGCTGCTAGAATAGCTTATGCTGAATGCTGGAAGCACAATTGTATACCGTCGGATGAACTGATTATTCAAAAAATAACGGCACGTGCTAAAAAGGACAAATTGACTTTAATGATACAAGAGAAAGAGGAGTCTGAATACTAACTCCTGAAATATTTCTATGGTTTCTTTAGAGTTGCCAACAGAAAGGGAAAAATGAGAAAATACCATTGCAGGAAGAAATTATTAAGAAAATATTGGAATGTGCTGAAATGAGTAGATTGACATTTGAAATTAGAGAACAAGAGGATAAACAATTCTATAAAATTTGGGACCTTTTCTATCAATGGTTGGATGATAAAATACAATAATAGAATATTTAGAATTTTAGATAATAATGAATATATAAAGAGATATTTTTTTTCTTTTTTATTTGATATCACATTTATAAAATGTCTTTAGGATAGATTTGGTATGATTATATGATTTGTTATAAAATAAACTAAGTAAATTATAGTTATCTCGCAAAATATGAATGAATAAAATCATAGTCAAATGATTGTTTAATAGTGATACTAGGGTATATAATTTCTGATTGATAATATGAGTTATTATGTAATGTAACTGTAATTGAGACTACGAAATGGATGCACAAAAACTGGTAAACCAACCGACACACTGTTTGTATATTTATGAAAGAAAGCTGGATGTTTTTATGTTTTGTTTGTTTTGTTTGTCTTTAAAAACTAATAAAATTGTTTTCAAAAAAAAAGAAAAAGAAAGGGAGGCGGGGGAAAAGGGTTTGAAAGAGCAGTGCAGCAGCTTGGAAATCAAAAGTGCATTCCATACATAGTTTTACAGAGATAGTAACTAGGTGACTGAAGTTCCTGCCGCGCAAAATTCTAACTGGAGAGCATGATTGATGACTCTGGGCTATGGAGGTGTCCCATTGGAGAATATGAATTACAATACGCCCAGGGGGTGGGGGAAAATCAGGGTCAAGGGTGACAATGTCTTTCAGAGTCGGCTACACGCAGGCAGTGCCAACATGTTAACTCCCAATAAATCCTTTTGAAGTTTGGCTCGAGACTCATTACTTAATTGGGGGTAACTGCCGGAATCCTGACAAACAGTTCATTTAGTGACCCTTCAAAGTTACAAAGGCACTGAAAAACATGACTGTGACCATTTTTCAGAGTTACAAAATTCAAAATTTCAATTTCAAAATTCAGACGCTTGGCAACAGACTCCTATTTATGAGGGTTGCAGTGTCCCGAGGTCAACTGATCCCCTTTTGCGACCTTCTGACAAGCGAAGACAAAGAGGGAAGCCAGGATGGGGGGGAAACCAGGGTCAAGGGTGACAATGAATGATGGGTCTCAGAGTCGGCTACACCCAGGCCATGCCGGACATGTTAACTCCCAATAATGTTTGAAGTTTTGGAAGTTTGGCTTGAGACTCATGATTTAAATGGGGGTCACTGCTGGGATCCTGACACGGGGATTCACTTAACACCCATGGCAAGTCGTAAAATGAAGATAAACTCAACTAACACTTAACACTTGCTTGGCAACAAAAATTCTGGGCTCAATTGGGGTTGTAAGTCGAGGAACACCTGTACCAGGTGTGATAAGTGGGGAGGAGATCGTGGGATCAGCCAAAGACCCAGGGAGAAAGGAGGTCTTACCTTGGTGACCCATGTGGGTTTGACCCCGGGCTGGTGGCCGACGTCAGGTTCTGCTCTATGAGCTGGTAGTTCCGTAGCTGAGTAGGGACTGGGATGGGCACCGTTTCGCTCCGGGGGGAGACCGAAGGCTGGCACTGCCTGGAGATAGAATAGAATAGAATAACAGAGTTGGAAGGGACCTTGGAGATCTTCTAGTCCAACCCCCTGCCTAGGCAGGAAACCCTACACCACTTCAGACAAAGGGTTGTCCAACATCTTCTTAAGTGTTGGAGCATTCACAACTTCTGGTGGCAAGCTGTCCCACTGATTCATCGCTCTAACGCTCAGGAAATTTCTCCTTAGTTCTAAGTTGTTTCTCTTTAAGTTTAGTTTAGTCACCTGAAATCTCCTCCATCACAATAGAGATGGAGGGAACCTGGGAGGACATCTAGTCCAACCCCCTTGCTCAAGCACGAGACCCTGCATCATTTCAGACAAGTGACTGTCCAGTCTCTTCTTAAAAACCTCCAGTGATGAAGCATCGATAACTTCTGGTGGCGAGCTGTTCCCCTGCTTAATCGTCCTCACTTTTAGGAAATTTCTCCTTAGTTCTAAGTTGCTTCTCTCCTTGATTAGGTTCCACCTGTTGCTTCTTGTTCTGCCCTGAGGTGCTCTGGAGAATAGCTTGACTCCTTCTTTTGGGGCAGCCCCTCAAATATTGGAAGACTGCTCTCCTGTCTCCCCTGGTCCTTCTCTTCCCTAGACTAGCCAGGCCCCAGTTCTTGAAACTGTTCATCGTATGTTTGAGCCTCCAGTCCCCTCATCCTCCTGGTTGCTCTTCTCTGCACTCTTTCTAGAGCCTCAACATCCTTTTTTTTACATCGTGGCGACCAAAACTGGACACCATACTCCAAGTGTGGCCTTATCAAGGCTTTATAAAGGGGTTACTAACACTTCACGTGTGATCTTGAAACGGGGGGGACAAGGAAGGCTGCAGTGAAGAGAGGCAGGGTAACCTCTGGGCCATGAAATCCTCTTCTCCGCCGGGGGAAACTTTCATGGCTGAGTGTCCAACCGGCTAAGGCCACCGCCAGAGCACGAAAGAGACCAGAGGGTGCTTGGTGCTGCTAATTTATTTATTTTTATTTATTTATTTGATTTGTCAATTGTTTACAAGATAATAAGTATAAGTATATACATAGTTATGAATACATGAAATGGGTACCTATAAGAAAGATAAAAGAAACAATAGGACAGGGACGGTAGGCACGTTGGTGCGCTTATGCACGCCCCCTACAGACCTCTTAGGAAAGGGGTGAGGTCAATAGTAGACAGTCTAAAGTTTTTGGGGTTTGGGGAAGAAACTACAGAGTCAGGTAGAGTATCCCAGACATTGACCACTCTGTTGCTAATTCACAGGGGAAGGAATGCTTAAGGATTGAAGGCTGGGTGGAAAATTCAGTCATGCAATAATAATAATAATCATTAAAAAAGAGGTTGCAATATAAACATAAAAAGAAACCATGAGATTGTTTTCCTCCTTTTCTTTCTGGCTGTTCTAGGGCAGGGCAGGCAGGCGCCAAAGCTGCTTCTCTCTCTCTCTCCCCTCTTTCCCTTTCAAGTTTTTTTTTCAAAACAAACCTCCTTTTTCTAGGAAAACCCCACTGGGGAAGGGAGAACAGGAAGTTCAGAAGTGAGGATGGCCAGAGTTTGTTTATTTAAGGGTAATAAAGTCAGGAGACTTGGGAAAAAGGGGGGAGGGGGAGAGAGAGAGAGAGAGAGAGAGAGAGAGAAGAAAAACAGATGATGCAACCCGTGCGTCCCTGGATAGTCAACAAAGCAGCTGGGAGCACCTGGGCGGAGGGAGGGGAACGCACCTGCTTGCTTGCTTTCGGCGCCCAGGGCTGCCAATTGCTCAGTGAAGGTTGCAGCCGCTGCCAAGAGGGCCCGGCTAAGAATTGGGCCTGTTCCTGTCTCCACCCCCACCCATCCCCAAAAAGTCTCAGTTCAGCTCATCGGCTTCCAATGCCTTCCAGATGGTGTGGTTCAAGTTACTTCCAGCCTATTGACTAGATTACAGAGTTGGAAGGGACCTTGTAGGCAGTGGTGGGATTCAATTTTTTTTTTTTTTACTACTGGTTCTGTGGGTGTGGCTTATTTGGTGGGCATGGCGTGGCGGTCATGTGACTGGGTGGGTGTGGCTTGGTGGTCATGTGACTGGGTGAGTGTTTCTTGGAGGCCATGTGACTGGGTGGGTGTGGCTTGGTGGCCATGTGACTGGCCTATTGACTAGATTAACAGAGTCGGAAGGGACCTTGTAGGCAGTGGTGGGATTCAATTTTTTTTTAAACTACCGGTTCTGTGGGCGTGGCTTATTTGGTGGGCGTGGCGTGGCGGTCATGTGACTGGGTGGGTGTGGCTTGGTGGCCATGTGACTGGCCTATTGACTAGATTAGCAGAGTTGGAAGGGACCTTGTAGGCAGTGGTGGGATTCAATTTTTTTTTTTTAAACTACTGGTTCTGTGGGTGTGGCTTATTTGGTGGGCGTGGCGTGGCAGTCATGTGACTAGGTGGGTGTGGCTTGGTGGTCATGTGACTGGCCTATTGACTAGATTAACAGAGTTGGAAGGGACCTTGTAGGCAGTGGTGGGATTCAATTTTTTTTTAAACTACCGGTTCTGTGGGCGTGGCTTATTTGGTGGGCGTGGCTTGGTGGTCATGCGACTGGGTGGGCGTGGCGTGGCGGTCATGTGACTGGCCGATTAAGTAGTTTAACAGAGTTGGAAGGGACCTTGCAGGTCATCTAGTCCAACCCCCTACCACCCAAGCAGCAGACCCTACACCTGTGATGGCGAACCTATGGCACGCGTGCCGGAAATGGCACACAGAGCCATCTCTGCTGGCACGCGAGCTGTTGCACTGGATCAGGTCCACTGCACATGCGCGCGCGTGCCTCCTGAAGCCAGCTGCTTTCGGGGACCTGCCGTGCGTGGGCGGGGGCGTGCAAAACGGGGATACGGTCCTAAGTGTGAAAAATGGTTGTAAGTCATTTATTTCAGTGCCGCTGTCACTTTGAACAGCCACTAAATGAACTGTAATAATTCAGGGCAACCTGAGAGCTCCGAGGAGGAAGAGGGAACGGAGCTGTCAGAGAGAGAGAGAGAGAGAGAGAGACGGACCCTGCGCCGTTCGTCAGCCCTCAGATGGAGAGTCAACAGCCCCCCCCAGGTGTGGAGGTGGCTGATGAAAAAGAAGAGGAACAGCTGGGTCTAGTGCCTGACGCATGGATGCGCAGAAGGCAGAGGAGAGGAGAGCAGTGGAAATCTATGAGCCGGTCCTTGGGACGGAAGAGCCACCGTTGTTAGCGAAGCCCCTACCCTAGCTCTGGGGATAAAAGGCAGGGGGCGGAGATGAATAGATGTGGCAGACAACTATTCATCTCCCCTACAGGATGGACTTGTTAGCCTGCGGTAAGAGAGAAAAATTTTTGGCGGGGCTGCTGGCATTCCTAATAAAGGAATTATTGATTTAACTCCAGAGGATGGATTGATTGATTGATTGATTGATTGATTGATTGATTTGATTTGCCAATTGTTTACAAGATAATAAGTATAAGTGTATACATAGTTGTGAATACATGAAATGGGTACATATAAGAAAAATAAAAGAAGAATAAGAGAAACAATAGGACAGGGACGGTAGGCACGTTGGTGCGCTTATGCACGCCCCCTACAGACCTCTTAGGAAAGGGGTGAGGTCAATAGTAGACAGTCTAAGGTTAAAGTTTTTGGGGTTTGGGGAAGAAACTACAGAGTCGGGTAGAGTATTCCAGACATTGACCACTCTATTGCTGAAGTCGTATTTCCTGCAATCAAGTTTGGTGCGGTTTACTTTGAGTTTGTATCTATTGTGTGCTCTTGTGTTGTTATGGTTGAAGCTGAAGTATTCATTGACAGGTAGGACATTGCAATGTATGATTTTATATACCATGCTTAAATCAGACCGAAGACAGCATTGTTCTAGGTTTTCTAGTTCTAGAATTTCAAGTCTGGTGGCATAAGGTATTCTACAACGAGTAGAGGAGTGGAGAACTCTTCTTGTGAGGTTGCGTCAGGTTTGGTGGAGCTCGATGAATCCAAAGTTGGAATGAAGGTTGCCGGGAGAAATATCAACCACCTCAGATATGCAGGTGATACCGCTCCAATGGCAGAAAGTGAAGAGGAACTTAAGACCCTCTTGATGCGGGTGAGGGAGGAGAGTGCAAAAGTTGGCTTGAAATTCAACATTAAGGAAACGAAGGTCTGGCCCTCTCAATTCCTGGCAAATAGATGGGGAAGAAATGGAGGTAGTGACCGATTTTTATTTTCCTGGGCTCCAAGATCACCGCAGATGGGGATTCCAGCCAAGAAATTAAGAGACGCTTGCTCCCGGGGAGGAAAGCTATGGCAAATCTAGACAGCTTACTAAAAAGCAGAAACATCTCCCATGCCAACCAAAGTGCATAGAGTCAAGGCTATGGTTTTCCCAGTTGCAATGGATGGCTGTGAACGTTGGACCATGAGGAAGGCTGAGCGCCAAAGAACGGAGGCCTTGGAACTCTGGGGCTGGAGGAGAAGACACCCTTGGACCGCAAGGCGATCCAACCGGTCAGTCCCAGAGGAGATCAACCCTGGCTGCTCTTTAGAAGGCCCGATCCTGAAGAGGAAACTCAAAA